TCTATTCTCTTATGTTATACCAAACAAAAGAATTAATCTGGCTAGTCAATTTTTACTGCAGAGTCGCTACTACAGATCGCCGGAAGTCTTACTTGGGTACCAGTATCCTTTTGAAATGCAAGATAATAATAACTGTTTTCTGAACAAAATTAAAATGTTATCTCAGTCTTTAGTACTGCAATGTCTCACTCTCCATGGATATAGGCTTGTTTTAGCACTAAGATCATCATAATCTTGTTTGGTCTGCGACTCTTACTGATCTATTTTGTCAACTTTATTGCTATAGTTCCAGCAAATGTTACCACTTTCCGATCCCTCATTTATTTAATTTGACTGCAAACTAGAGTTGGTTACTTTTATTCTTCCTAGGGTACATGATATCTTAAAATATCTGGGGATTGTATGTGGAGTCTTAACCACTATATAGATACACAACAGCTATTGACATGTGGTCTTTTGGCTGTATTGTTGCCGAGCTGTTTCTTGGATTGCCACTGTTTCCAGGAGCTTCAGAATTTGATCTCTTGAGGCGTATGGTTGAAATACTGGGGTATGATCTTTTGTTATGGAATTGGTAAATGTGCATGCAGTCTATTATTGTAGGGGTCAGGGATTCTTGGGGTCTGCACCCTTGATGGTCTATATTCGTGCATTGTTTGTTTCATATATTGTACAACAATAATTTTCCAATTGATGCTTACTCTATTTTGGTGCTTTACAGTCATTCTTTCATTGCCCTTTGTCCCCCTATTTTAGCCTCTCGACGTTTTTTCAACTATGAAATCCGCACTTCTATTTAAGCAACAAGTGTCGAGATTTCTAGGACCCAGGAACTGTTCTTAATTTGTTTCTTGTCTTTTTTTTTTTCTGTTATGATTGTTTCAATTTTGTGTAATTTTTTTTCCAGCAAACAACCACCTGATTATGTGCTCAAGGAAGCAAAAAACACAAGTAAGTTCTTTAAATGTGTTGGGAGTGTCCACAATTTAGGGAATGGTGGAACTGATGGTGGTCCCAAAAGTGCTTATATGGCACTGACTGAAGAAGAGTTTGAAGCTGTAAGTAATTCTTGCTTTGCCTCTGAACTAAACAAAAATTTAAAAAGAGAGGAAGGAAAGGGGAGAAGAGAGCAGATACAAAAATGAGTATTGAAAACAAGGACGACAGTTATATCAGTGAACGAAGAATATCTTGATTATTTCATGAGGGGATTAAATTTTGTTTTATATAGTAACTACGATTTGGCGTTGATATATTCTTGATAACTTGTACTGTTCTTTACCCTTAACTTTCAGAGAGAAAAGAAAAGGCCAGCAATTGGGAAAGAGTACTTCAAACATAAGAACCTTGAAGAAATTGTTAAAAGCTATCCTTACAAGATACACTTGCCTGAAGACGATGTAGTCAAAGGTAAAGTCAGGATGTTCTGTCGTTCTTAAGTTTGCAAGGATTATCACTGGAGTATCTTTCACGATGACTGTTTTTCTTTCATAAACTATCACAGAAACTCAAATCCGGTTAGCTCTTATTGATTTTCTGAGAGGACTTGTTGAATTTGATCCAGCAAAACGTTGGTCACCTTTTCAGGTATTGAACTTTCTGGCTAAAGTCATCTATATTTAGTTTTAAAGGCTTCATATTTTCTTTCTAGCCATAATGGATTTAAACATCGACTACTTATTTCTTCAGGCAGCAAAGCACCCTTTCATCACTGGGGAACCTTTTACGTGCCCTTACAACCCTCCGCCAGAAACACCTCATGTGGTGAGTCAGATGGAATTCCTCCCCAGATCCCAGAATTCTTGGTTGGCCTTGTTGTCATACCAATGGTGTTCATAGCAGTGGGTTTGTTGTCCTGGATTCATGTTTGTTTCACAATGATAGTTCTTAGTTTTATTTTCATCATTTTCTAAACTTTATAATCATGTGACGGGTTGAAGATACTTCTCCTTCTAGCACATTCTTCCGATCTTTAAAGTTTTTTGTTGTGGTTACGAATGCCTCAGTTAAAAGATCTTGCAGAAAAGTAGCTGAAAGAAAAATGTAATTCTCTCTTGCAGTGAGAGATGTGTGAGTTCCACTATTCACTGAATCGGTTCTTGTTCCTTTCTATTTTCTTTGTAGCATGTTGCTCAAAACATCAAAGTGGACCATCATCCAGGTGGGGGGCACTGGTTTGCCGCAGGTCTCTCTCCTCATGTATGGCTTTTTGTCCCTTCAAAATATTTGTAACACCGTCAATTTGTTTTCACACTTCTTTTTGAAAGTTATTTACTTCTTTGACAGGTATCAGGGAGAACCAGAATCCCGATGCACAATAGTCCCCATTTTCAGATGTTACCTTATTCACATGCAAACAGTTATGGGAGTATTGGAAGCTATGGTAGCTACAATGATGGTACTATGCAGGGAAGTAGCTATGGGAGTTATGGAGAGACCGGCAATATGTTTGCCTATTATTCTCCTGTGAATCATTCTGGCATGTACATGCAAAACATAGGTGGTGCCTCAATGCTTGGAACTAGTCCTGATGCCAGACGTAGGGTTATGCAGCAGCAGTACCCACATGGAGGTGGGCTTGGTGCAAGTCCATCTGCTGGAAATTTTGCACCACTACCCCTTGGCACTAGTCCGTCGCAATTTACTCCACCAAATACAAACAATCAATTTTTAGCTGGTTCTCCTGGACACCATGGCCCCACATCTCCAGTAAGAAATAGTTGTCATGGTTCTCCTTTAGGAAAGATGGCTGCATTTAGTCAGTTTAACAGAAGAAAAAGTGGTGGATATTCTGGTGGTTCTCAGTCGCAAGATTCGTCCTTGTCACAAGCACAAGGGCATGGGATGGATAGTTTTTATCAAAATGACGGGTATTCTGGACAATTCTCTGGTTCACCTTCACGCCGGCAGTTGGATTCTGGTGTTGCAAACCGTAAACAGACACAAGGATGCACTGCATCAAGTTCTGGGTACTCTACTCATAATATTGCCAGCTCATCACTTCGGTCCAATATTTATAACCCCGCCAGTACTGGACCCCGTCTTGAGAATCAAGATACTGCCCCATCGGTGCCTAATCCAGGAGACTGGGACCCAAATTACAGGCAAGTAAACAAGATGTTCTCTAAATTAAAGGTTATAGAATATAAAGGTTCTTTGTATGCGAGTGTATGTTATGGACTTGAAAAACTCTGGCAGGCTTATCTAGACTATGAGTAATATTGTGGTGCTGTATTGTCTTCAATTCCAACCATATTGGACCAGTCGTGTCACGCACCGGATCTCTGATTAAGTTCTTGTTGACTGGTAGTTGGGTCTCAAAACTTAAGACAGATTCATAGGCGTTGAAGCAATCATATTAAATTGTCCATTTGAATGGGCAGTCGTTCTTTTTTACCTGATGTTAATTCTCGGTTTGTTTAAACTTCCAGCTTAAATGATATTAACCTCTTTTCATTCTGGCTATTGGCAGTCACATGAAATACTTTTTGTACGTCAAAATTCTGTTTGTGTGCCTCCAATCCTTAAATTGGAACTTCTAATATGTGTACATTTTTGTTACATGTACAGTGATGATTTACTTCTACAAGAAGATAGCATGGATGAGAGTTTTCTTGCTAATGGATTCAGCAGAGGTATGCAACTTGGTTCAACAGATGCCTCCAGTTTTCCCAGAAGGTTCAACAATAATGACTCGACCTCATCCTCAAATTCTACAACGCAAAGGTAACCTAGAATCTAGAGGAATTGCTGAACCCTTCTTTCTTTGGTGATATTTAGATCTTATATCTTTCAGGCATACTAACTTATCAGGAGAAAGTATGTCGTAGCTTGCGTATCAGAACTACATTAAATTTGGACTAGGGATTTCCGACTAGAATATGGGAACGCAGAAAAGTCCCATTGCTTTATGTTGTCGTCATATTAGCTATTTTGGGTATATTCATCTTGGTAGGACTTGTATTCTATATTTGTTCTAAATTGTTGGACGTGAATTGGAAGCAATTAGGAAGAGTGAAAAGAAAACATTCTACATTCTATGAACTAGTAGAAAGGAAACTGAACTTGTGATGCTCCAGGCAGAATGCGTTATGTATCTTGTGAACGTGCTTTGAAGATAATGTTTTCTTCGTTTTTTTTTCCGCTATTTTTTGTTCCATTCTTGATGGATCTGATTGGCTCAATGCTGGTAATTTTGAATCTACTTCAGGAGATATGCTCCCAATCAAGCCTTTTCACAAGTAGAGATTGGAAGCCCTCCAAGTAATGATCCTCATGCCAGATTTGGCCAACCCATGCCAGTATCACAATTCACTTCTCATATTTCCCACAACTCTCCAAGTCGCTTAGGGCAGCAACCTCCTCAACGGTTTAACCATGGGAGGCCAAATGCTGGAAGAGCTATAGATCGGAATCACGTCAACGCTCAGCTTCCTCCGGCCAACACTAATTCTGGGGGTCAACGCTCACCCAGAAGTGGGTCATTTACCAATGGTGTCCCTTGGGGTACTCTTCTTTCACTCTCTAGAACTTTTTTTTTACTTCTTTACATCCTCTGATTGGTCTTTAGCCTATAAATTAATTTTGCCTATTTCATCTTGTAGGACGTAGGACTAACCATCATGTCCCGAATGTCCCATCGACGTCTCAAGGAAGGATGGACTACGGAAGTATTGCCTAACTCCGCGGTCTTAACTCTCAATGATATTCCTCTTTCCTTCAGTGTGCACTTTTTTTTGTTGGGAGTTTGGGAACAAAGTTGTGCTGAGACAAGAAACAAAACTAGTTCATGGCTTGTGGGCTTCTGATCAGAAAGTGCTTATTCATTGTGCTTTTTGCGCACACAAAAAAATGTATGTGGTCACTGATATTGTTTTGTCTTTCTGGTATCTATTTACCAGTATTTCGTATTGATATTCTCTAATCTTTAAGGACACTGACTTGAAAAGAAAGCCTTGAAATTTTTAAGTGGAAGGTACGTAACTATACTATCAAACACCTTATTTGATTCCAATTACAGACATTAGAAACCAAAGTCTCTCACTGACTTGTGCAATATCTTGATTCTCCTTCTCCAACATCGATGTCGGCAATACAACACCTGTAAACATGTAAAGTGCCTTCAATTCTTCTGAATATGTTGTGCTCCTCTCGACACTGTATCCAACTATCTTCCTTAATGCCTCCAACTTTGCCCAGATCTGCTCCTCATTATACAACACCTTCATCATCTAAATCCAAAAACCTCAATCTCAGTAACACTCATTCTCAAAAAAGAAAACTCCCTCGGCGGATTTGGAACTAAACAATACAATGTATGACCACAATTAAGACGTTAATATCCATCGAGAAAGAAAAGGAAGAAGAAACAAGACTAGCTGGTTGTACCGCGGAACATACTACACAGATACTGTTAACTTACAAACGAGTTGGTTAGATATATCAGCTAATATGTCCACAAGCTTCTTGATTAAGTCCTACAATATTCTACACAAATGTTGACACGGTACATATGGTTCATGCTTGAACAAATTTCTTGCCTTTGACACAGTTACCTCAAACTGTTCTTTAAGATATTCATTTAAATTAGAAAAGCGAATCAAGTGAAGAAAATCTGGAACCATCATTAGAGACATAAAATGAGTTCAAAAAGCTACGCTATTACACGTACACTAAGGACTAATAGAAAGCTGTTCAAAATAGAAATTATGTACCCATAAGAGCAGATTCTATAGAACTGATACCTGTCTAAGACACCCTATGTCAAAACACCTCCCGTTGACTCACTGAAGAAGGAAAAATTCATCCTTGTAATAATTTATATTCTTAAACAAAGGACCCTATGTTCTTCTCCTTTCAAGAACTCATCAATACTGATGGCGTTGCTTCTACCATCGTTACAGAATCTAACAACCACCACCTCGGTCTGAAATAATTAAAACCAACCCTCAAACGTTCATGGAAAGAGAGCTCAGATCCGAAAGCAGATCAAGCGTGTCTAGCTAGTTGTTATAAGCTAAAGTAACCCCCATATTTGGTTGACGTGAGATCATAAAAACATCACGCCAAACAAAAAGCTTCAAAAGAGAGAATTCAGCTACAAAGATCCACCCATGTAATAGAGAACACGTCCAACAAAAATGACATCGAACAAATAACAATACAATATCAAGTACATGGAAACTTGAATGAAGCATGGAAGTTCAGTCCACCCATAAGAGGTATACGATGCTATATTGTTTGAAGAATGAATGGGAATATCCTAACCTCATTTGACGATTTTTCCATATTCTTCCCTCTAGATGCTTCAGTTGTAGTGGACCCAAGTTCCCCTGCCAAAAAAGCTTGAATATTCATAAGCTAATTCCAAGCAATTCATACATTATTAAAACCTTCAAGTGTCATATATATATAACCCACCTTCATGTCTTGTCCCAGAAACTTGCTTCTTTCCTGCTAGATGATCTTCAACTCTCGCTCCAACCTTCTCTGACTTGGCATCACTAGGAGCTCTCGACTCTTTGTCCTCTTCTTCGAAACCTTTTTCAAGTGATTGAGTAGTTCTACCCTCACCTCTAACACTCTCTAACAAGCTCTTTGACTCTTTTGTCATATCCTCAGGGATGTGATACACATCAACAACAATGTTAGCATTACGCACTCTCAAGGGTTCCCGAAAAGCTATTGCGGCAGTTCCCTCTTCCTCAGTCTGAACAAGAATCGGCTCACTCAAAGCCACTCGTGCTCTGCGTTGATCATCACCGTGCGCAATCTTGTCGCGGAATAGCATCATTTTGTCACCTCTACCGCCAAAAGCAGTAGCAGGAAGCAGTATTCTCATAAGCTTTTCGGTACAAACATAGCTCGCCAAGAAAAAACAATAAGGAAGGGACGAGATCAATGCGATTGTGGAGGCAACAACGAGTGGCGGAACAACGAATGGTGCAGAAATCAGTAACAAAACTGCTGCAAGAACCTTCTTTGCCACACTAACTCCTTTCCTCCAAATCCATCCCATCTTCCCATCCATTCTTGTGCCTTCTTCCATCCCAACAATTCTTTAACATACAATAATCTTATTACAATATATAATGTTTCTAGAAAAGCCAAAACACATAAAATCTCTAAGTAAATCATTAGACCAGTGAAGACGATTTGAGTCATTAAAACACTTACATATATTGAAAACACAGTGCATCAATTTCCAAGAAAAGAAGACTCAAACCTGATTAGGCGATAAGAACGAGGGTAAAGGGAAAGATGTCGTCGCAGATTCAAAAGAGAAGAAGGAAGCATCAAAGAGTAGCAAAAACTTCTCCAGTGATGAAAGAAACAGTGTGACACGTGTTGAGATTCGGACGAAACACAACACGAGATTGCATGGCGAGTTTGGTTTTGTTCTCTAACGTGGCCGTTCCTCTCTCTACCCACTTGTTTCCACTATGAAAGTCAATGATCGGTTCTGCAACTTGGAGTAAATGCAGATTGAGATAACAACATATGGGTTTTGTATATAAAAACTATATAAGCGTTAGAAAAACCTGAAAAAAAAAAACTCACCGTCGTCACAAAACCCTAAACCTCTGACAAATCTACCGGTTGTTGTTTTGTTGTCTTCAATAGCTCGTTCGGGAGGAACGATTGGTATGCAGGACCGGCTCACAAATTTGGGAATTAACTTCACTCGTGGTGAGCTCTTTTTTTTTTCCTTTCTTTTTTTCCGTAAGACTAACTTGATACTATATTTTGATGTAAAACTATAATATAACAAATCATGATATACTTTGACCCAAAAAAAAAAAAATCATGATATACATTACTGAGCCGTGCGTGGCCAGAGAAATGGAGATTGGATGCGGTTTTAATTACAAATCAGAGTTGTGGCCAGAAATATAGAAAACGAAGTCGATATCAATTACTAAATTTTCGCCACAATTT